CTACCAGACTCCGAAGGCTCCAAAGATAGCACCGTACTCCCAGATGGTCCTGGCCCCATCTCTACATTGGGTGAAGGACCCTCGTCCGAGTCCTCTCCAGACTCCTGGACTGGTCCCCGTTCTTCCCCACTGTCCGATTTCGCTGCCGTCTGCACCAGCTGCCGGTGAACCATAACAACCTGCCAGATCCCTGTGACCTAGACTGATGGCCCAAACCACACATCCTTAGGAAGCGACACGGGGCAGGAACTGAGCTCACCTCAAAGGAGAACTTACCTTCCACTTGTTTTAGGGGTCTAGAACTTGGAGAGCTTCAGGGATATTCTCTGTTTTAAATAAAGGATGTTTCAACCCGAACGTTGTCCTTTTCGTTTTAGGTTTGTGTGAATGGGCCACCTCTTGATGGACAAGGAGTGTCTCTAAATCTTTTAGCAGAGATGAGAATCGGGGTTTCATGGATGATCCCCAAACTGGATGAATTGAGAAAGCTTTGGATAAGTGGTGGGACTTATCTCCGGGGGGTGAGGTGGGATGAGTCTGCCTACTGAGATGAGGTGGACCAATGGTTGCTTTTGTGGTGTGGAGACAATAACTTGGTTCTCAACCCCCATAAGACCAAGGAGCTTATAGTGGACTATAGAAGGAAGAGATCAGACCTCCAGCCCTTGCTTATCAATGGAGACCAAGTGGAGCAAGTGGCCAGTTTTAAGTTTCTGGGTGTTACCATAAAAGAGGACCTGACTTGGGGTGCCTACATTGCAGCCCTGGTCAAAAGGGCCCAGCAGAGATTATACGACCTGAGACTTCTCAGGAAACAACAACTGAATGAGAAACTGCTGGTGACTTTCCACCACTGCACCATAGAGAGCATTTTAACATACTGCACCTCTGTATGGTTTGCCAATTGCACAGGGGCAGATAGGAAAGCACTCCAGAGGGTTAGTCATTGCCCAGAGGATCATTGGTTGCCCTCTCCCCTCTTTGGAAGAGCTTTATAGCTCCCGCTGCCTTAAGAAAGTTCAAACCATTCTCCAAGATCCAACTCATCCTGGGCACCCCCCCCTTTTTTTTTGAACTATTACCATCTAGCAGACGGTACTGTAGGAAGTTAGCACCCATCCCTCTCCTAGAAAAATGAAAATATCCTAGGAAATATTAAAAAGGCAGAACATTTCCCCTAAAATGGAAAGTAGAAACTCAAGAGAGGCAGAAACTCAGCTTCACCACCTTTGCTAATGGATCGTTACTCTGGCCTAGGCCAGTCTATTTTACATAACAAAGATCTACTCCAGGTAGAGCTATAATAGGAATCGCCCAAAGCCCTTTCATTATATCATCATCCAGCAAGGCTCAACCAAGCCTGGGATTCAGGACAGCCTACAGAGTTGTCCCTGCATGGCCCCATGGGAGTCTGACAACCAATCAGAATACAAGCTCAAATTCAAATCCCAACAGAGGGCATAAAACCCAGGAACTCTCAGCATGTCTGCCCTTTTTTTTTTCACCCAGGAGCTGCAAGGCATGTGGTCCTGTCCACCATTAAACCATCTTTCCAAACAGCCTCCGTGTTTCCAGTGTCTTTTCCCACATTTGGAATTGAACCCAGAATGATAATTCTTCCAGGATAATAAAAACAAGGACAAATAGGCTGAAAAACAGCTTCTATCCCAGGGCATTAGCTCTGTTGAATTTTACTGTATAGTACACCAGAGATGGTATTTAATTTCGTTGTACGATGTGCAGTGACAATAAACTAAACAAAGCTAATTATGCGTTGTACCAAGAGAACCATGTACTACATGGTTGGAAGTGGGTTGTGGGACCATGAAGTGCTCACTCCTGTGCTTTGGGGATCAAGACAGAGTTCAAGTCTTGGGAGTTTGTTGATCTCGTTGCCACTGGCACTTTGAAAAACCACAAGGCTCACAAAACCGGAAGGGGGCATATCTTCAGGAAACAAGCAGGCAGAAGGGGGAAAAAACAAAACAATTTTGAGTATCATCTGATCTTTGCAAAGCCTGGTTGATTGTGAGAGTTGCAGAAAGGATTGTGCCCCCAAGAAGGAATCCAGAAATGATAAAAATGAAGGGGGGGTGTCCTGTCTTCCAACCCCATGAAGATAACTAATGGGAGTTTCATGAGGACAAGGCCAGGTCTGCCTCATCGTGGAATCGTCAAGCAATCTGTTGTTATTTTTATTGTCAGAGTACAACATGTGTACCATGAGATTGGCTGAGCCTCCCTTCATGCAACACCCCCCCCACACACACACCAACACAACTCACAGGGAGGACAGAAGTCCCTAACCCAGTCCCAATCTTATTGCACTATGTGACCTTGTTGCACAATGCACTGGCCCTGCAAGTCTACCATACTACGTTGACATGAAGTTATTTTCCATTCAGGAGTCCGACAGCCCACAGGTAGAAACTGTTCTTCAGCCTGTGTTCTGACCCACACCCTTTTCCAACGAATCAAACACAAACACAAAGCTTCTCAAAGGCATCTGAGGAAACAACAAACCAAAACTAGATAGTTCTTTTATCTGATCCAATCTAGCTCTTCCTCCTACAGGGTGGAGCCAGCTAATTCTTGAAGCAGGGCTAAATTTAAGCTCGTAAGCAAGAGCAAAAAGCAATGGTGTAAAACTTGGCTGCTTTAAGTTGGAGACATTTTTAAATGGGCTGTACTAGTAAGAGGGGCAAAGAATCATCCTGGATAAAGTCAGAAAAAAAATATGTAAAAGGTTATTTTTCAACATAAAGGCAGTGCATTCATTCCCTTGGCTTCTGGTGTCAAAGCCTGTCGACATGAATTCCATGGGTTGTTGAAATCCTGTCCTTTCTCCAAAACCACCAGGAAAGAAAAGTTTCAATTTTTTGTGAAGAAATGCCTAAAAATTGCCCAGATCGGTGGCATTATATTTTTAGACCTAAAATTCATTTTAATCCTTTGTGGTTAATTAAACCATGTCTTAACATGTATAGTTTCTTGGAGGGACAAGGCATTTGTCCCACGAACACATCTGGTTAAAACAAGAGTTTTGTCTTCTTTTAAATAAATCTTGACTCTCATTCAATCATGACTTCACACCTCTGTAAGCATCTTCACTGTAAGTAGTTAAGTCTGCTAAGCCATTTTTAGCCCATCAGCTCTCAGCGTCAGGCCTATTGCTATTTTCTTATAGTTCTGGTGTTTTGTAAATTATGGCTTTCCTAATATTGTTAATCCCTATTAAGTGCAACTCTTCAGAAAAATATTTCATAACAGCTTAAATCGTTGATTCTGGTTAAACCTGCAGTTTTAAAAGTCTGAGAATTAAGAAGCATTTTCTTTCTTTAAACACCGAAAAAACAATTTTCACCTCCTGTTAACAGCTTCGTAAAAATTATATTTACTGAATGTAATTAAAAAAAGGAAATACTCCGAAGATATTTTGCATGCAGAGTTCAGCACAAACATCTTATTTTTTTCCCTTTCTTCTGTAATTCTTTATACTTTGCAGTTTAAATTTTCTACCTCATCTCTCTTATGTCATTTTTTCCCCCTTTCTCAGTTTCTGGCTAGTTTTCTTAGTTAATCCCACCAACGTTTTGAAACGGCGTTATTTCTAAACTCTGAAAGTTATTTGATTTCTATGGTTGCCCACCTCAGCAAATGACTCTGGGCAGCTGAAAAATATCCTCACATTTATTTGCTTGGAATTACGGTCTCCTGCTTGCTTGTTTCAGGCTAGTGACTCTGGCAGCTACGGCCTTTCATATTCTGACAACGTTTCCCTTTACGACTAAGTGGGTATATAAGCAGTAAATCCAAACAGAATTTGAAATTAACTAGTCTGATTATTAATGAATATCTCTCTTCTGACAGCAAGAATTCAGCCAACGTAGCTACCCTGAGAGTTAAAGAACACAAAACATGTACACAATAAATCCAGATTATTTGGTTTTAATTCCTTTGGAAACCTCTTTGTGGAAATAAAAACTTGAAAGGACAGAGGATGGCAGGGGAAATAATACGGAGATTCAGTCTTGAAAATAGGGCTTTGTTAAGAAGGCAGCCATCCTGGGGCACAAAAGCTGGTTGTCAGACAGACACGGTGAGGGTTGCAGCTGCTTCCATTTACAGGCCCAGCTTGGTCCTCCTCCAGTGACGCCTTTTGGAATTGTATCTGGAACAAAAGAGGCACAATTAGTAAGCGAGACACAACTCTTGAGAGTCTAACAGACTAAAACCTGAATTGCCTAGAAGCTAATAGCAAACTAAGGACTTTTAATCTGGAGGGTCTCTTTTTTAAGGCAGAGGGAGAATAGTTTTCCCACGTCAATTTGTAACTCCCTTTCCTCATTTAAATGCACCAACAAAAAACAAAAAAAAAACCCCTTGTGCGTTCATTCTTTCAACACAAGCTGCTTTATAAATAGCCTTATGAAATGTAAGCACAAGGACAGGGCCCATGGCAAGGTCTAGCCATTCCAAAATGTCCCCTACCCCCTAAAAAAAGTTAAGTCCACAATTAAAGCATTAAGAGATGGGGATGTCATTAGGCCACCATCCTTGAATTGACCAGATCAATTAATCAAGTCTTTTAGATTAAAATTCAATGATTTGCCCAAACAGACTGATCCAGGTGATTGCTTTAAAAATATATATATATACGTACTAATTTCATTTAGTGAAGATGCACATTTAGCAGGCTTCCAAATTATTTAATATATTTAACGTAAAATTTTATAGTAAATTTTAATTATTTTTAAAATAATTCAAAAAAATATTTTTAATCATATTTTCCATTAAAAAAAAATTTCAACAGATATTTTTTTATTCATGCTGTATTATCTGCAAACTTTGTTAAGAGGCTGGAGCGGCCCTGACAGATAAATCAAGCAATAAATCTAAACTCCCATCACAGAAAACCTTCCTTAGATATTACCACAAGGTTACGTTTGAGTGTCCTCTCAGGAGAAGATAAAATCTGTTGTGTGTTTTCCCCATAAGGCTTGTCACTGTTAAAAGGAGGCTAATTTTCACCAGGATGGAGGAGAAATCAAATCCCATATAACAGAATTGCTCTCAGCAGGGATATGGCAGTGATTCCATGTGAGGGAACACTGCAATTGCTACCTGCTTCAGAAAATGTTCCTTTTTAAGAAAACAGAATTCCCTTTTTAAGAAAGTAGCCTTCCCTCATCTGACCTGGGAACAGACCTCAACATTTCAGTGCCAGAGAGAAACAGAATATTGGATGAACGCACGTGTCAAAATGTGCTTTGTTTTGCACAGAGAAGGGTATTTATGTGAAAAGAAGCAGAAGGATGAAGAGAGTGTGGCAAGGAAAACCAGGGAAACAAAACGGATGATGAAATGGGAAAAAAAATGATAAGAATATTTGTTAGAAAGTTGTTTGATATTTGGAGGCATACGCAGCATAGGTAGGTCAATTATAAACCTCATACAAGGTCAGCTCAATGTTATTATTCGTAGCAGAATTGGTTAAATAGTATTTATTAAATCTTTACATAATTAATATTTGGGGGACAATGAACCATCTGAAACTTCATGAAGGGGCTGAAGAAGTAGTTTAAGAAGGATGCAACTGAGCTCGAGTCCAGTTTTCTTCCAAAATATAAAAACCCCAATGGGATCTGCCGGTGGGATCTGACAGCGGGCAGGCAGCCATCGAAGGGATCTGTTCTCGCAAGAGCTTTACCTGATCTTATTGCCAGTTTTCATGCGAATCCACTGAGGAATGGGTCGGTTCTGCTTCTGCTTCTTAGCGAGGAATCGCTTGATCTTGAAAGTCTTGTGGGACGACTGGAGATCGGGAAGAGAAGGAACACCGAAAACAATTTAAGCAGGGGCCAAGATAAGCGTTCAAAAATCACACAGAGACTTCCAACAATGGCTGATTGTTGACCTGGGAGGTGATGGATTCCTTTTTTTGTGTGTGGATGCAAATGAGGTCGATCCCTGTGTTGGGCAAGGATGTGGACTAGAAGATCTCCAAGATCCCTCTCCAATTCATTACCTACTTTTAATGACCCCGTAAATCCCTTGCGGGGTAGAGTCTAGGCAACTGAATGGAGCTGTGTGTTTACTGGCCGGATGCCCTTCCTGTTGCCAATGCGGAGTTATATTCATCAGAAGATATAAACTCATCGTGCCCAAAGAGAGAAATATCTGCATACCTAGGATCGAACTCACAGCCTCCTAATTGTGAGGCGAGAGCTCCACTCTATTCCTTTCCAACTCGTGATCCTGTGAATTGCTGGCCATTTTCAGAGTAAAACCTATTGAGATGCAGCCCATTTAACCTGCAAGCTACGTGGCTGGATTATGCCCAAAAGGGAGCAAAACTATACGGAAGCATTATATAGATTTCCAGACTAAAAGAGGAAAGTAAACTGGGAAAACTGGTTTCCCCCACAGGGAAGTCTAGTCTCCCTCCATACACACTGCAACATCAAAGAAGAAGCAAAACAGTTTTGTTTTTTTAAAAATTCTGTGAGCTGTGCAGAGTTGTGTTTTGAGATGGACGGCCATATACACACAAGATACACAAGCCAACGAATAAACAAATTATCTCTTTGAACTGCTTAGAAATATAAATTAGAATGTATATTTCTAATTGCCATTTACTGAATAGTTACTCCAGTCTTTTAAAACTCCCAACGTTATTGCTTGGCACTGAAATGCTGCTGGTGTGTTACCCACTGTGTGTTACACAAACACACCCCGCCGGTGCATTTTGCAGCAATATGAAACGCCAATCCTAACCGCAGATCTCAACCTGCTGAGATACACAACCTGCAGCATTATGGCAACATAAAAGGATTCAACACTTTTGCTATCAATAAAAATACTGATATTTTTACTTCTTTTTTATACTTCACTCAAGGAACACACCTAATGCCCCTGCCTGTCTATTTTTCTTCACAACAACACGTGTGGTCGGTTGGACTGAGAGAGAGTCCCCAAAATCACCCAGTTTTCATAGCTAAGGCAGGACTAGAACTCATAGCCACAAGAGGATATTCAGAATCCAGAATAACAAAGAGTTGGAAGGGACCTCGGAGGCCTTCTAGTCCAACCCCTGCTCGAACAAAATAAGCTCCCAGATTGGGCTTGGGAGTCCCACTGGGAGTCCAATCTGGCATCTTATCCGAGAACCCAAGAGCCTTTTTAGGCAGAACTCAAAGTCTTCTTTTAAGCCAGGGATCTCCGCACTTGGCCAAATAGAAGACTTGTGGACTTCAACTCCCAGAATTCCCTAGCTAGCAATTTCCTCAATTCTGGGAGTTGAAGTCTTCAAATCTTAAAAAGTTGCCACGTTTGGGGACCCCCCCTTTTTTTTCTAAGCCAGCACACACCAAACTGACTTCATACATAAAATAGGGTCGGGGGGGGGAGAATCCAGCCAATTCTCTTTCGGATCTAACTAAATCGGGGTGGGGGGGGTTGGACTAGATGAGCTAACAAGGTCCCTTCCAACACTGATTACGTTATGTTTGAATAAACTCTCAATAAAAAAACACTGGGAGACAACAGATATTGGTGGTGTCAAATCCCATTCAAATCCTTTCCTTTAATGGGCTTCGAGTCGCCTTTTCCACCGAGAAGGGCAACTCTATGGTTAAGGAGAGGCCTACACACAACTGCCCCATTCAAGCGGCGGCTGGCGGGCAGGCCTCTAACCGGGCACACACACAACGCCCCAGTTTTTATCCACGGTTCCCAATTTTCCAGATCGAACCGGGGGCTTTTCGCGGGAGCCCCCCCCCCGCCCCGGAAGAACCGGCCCGGGTTAACGGGTTCCCAAGAGACTCCCCGAAGGAGGATTGCGACGGATAGACTCACCATCGTCCAACGCGGTCACCACGGCAGCAGACGAAGAGGGAAGGGGCTAAGGGAAGGGGCGCCTGGAATGATGGGAAAAAAAGCGAACGAGTGATTTTTTTTCCTGCGTGGGCTAGAAAGTCGACTCGGTGGCGACAGCGCCGCCCGCTCAGCGTCTCCAAGGTGGTATTGCACGTTTTTTCAAGCAGGTAACGCCGCGAAGGTCAGAATACAGAAGAACGAAGAGTTGGAAGGGACCCTGGAGGTCTTCCAGTCCAACCCCCTGCTCAAGCAGGAGACCCAATGGGACTCCCAAGCTCAATCTCAGAGTTTATCTGAGAACTCGGGGCCTTTTTTTAGGCAGAACTCAGTCTTACTTCTAAGCCCTTGGCAAATATAAGACTAGTGGACTTCAATTCCCAGAATTCCCCAGCCAGCAATTCTTTAATTCTGGTTTACAGCAAGATTAATAAATAAATAAATAAATAAATAGTAAAAATTTATTGAATTTAGCTGGGATCCTTTTATTTTATTCAATGTGCATTTGGATGTGCTCATCAGATATATTTGCAACCATGCAATAATTTGTGGTTTCTGACTTTGCAAGATTTTGCAGGCTTCCACTCCTAAAATTCCCCAGGGATTTTATTTATGTATTTATATATAGTACATAAATAAAATATATATATATATATGGGCGATTTTATATATATATAGTTGCCCATCTCATGATCAAAGGAGTGCGATCAAACCTTAATGGTGAATTAAACCTTTTTGTTGTTGTTGTTGGCATAACAATTATGCAGATTTGCTTGAGCAAGATTTCATCCCATTAGATTTTTTTTCCCTCATTAGATTTTTCTTAAGTGTGCTTTGGCTGCAACAGTCGTACAAATGCTGCTTGGAGATCCAACGGATTTGAAGGCCATTCGCTGGAGAAAGCCGCTATATCTTTCTCTCAAGCGGCCAAAGGATCTGTAGATTTTTTTTAAAAAATATACTTTTATTTATTTGGGGGGGGGGGGTTGTAAAATGATATTGAGCGGGCAATCCTGTTCTATGCCATGTCATCAGGAGAATATAGCTCATCAATCAACCATGTATTTTCCAAGAAGGCCCCCAATTTAGTACCTGATGCTGTCTGTTAAACGCATGCCGTGGGATTGACTGCTCCTGCCAGCCAAAGTGGATAATCTTAGGCTGGGGAGGGGATTCAACCGGTGCTACTTCTGGTTTGGTGACTATGCCCCGGGTCATCACACAACCAATAAGAAGGCACCACATAAATAGGATGCATTAAATAGCCCAAAGCACAACATTCCAGTAGACAGAAGTTCCCTGAGGATTGGGCTCCAGTACGAATCCGAAAGCTTGGAAGACTTGGTCCCAGTGACTGACCCAGACTGGATACTGCAACATTACGCTAGGACACTGTATGTGCACCTTCTGTGTGAGACTGCATTTCCCCCCACCAAGTCATGACATACAAAACAATACTTTTAAAACATGTATAAATGGACAGGGTTTTTATTGAATATAAAAACTGTGTTGGATTAGCAGAAAGGAGAACCCCCTGTCCGTGGCTAGGAGTTCTTCCTTCATTTCCCCTGTCCACCCAGTTCTTCTTCCCAGATTCCCAGCAAAGCCAGGAAAAGCAATCCGAGAGAAATGGGGTGGAGTGGGGAAGAAAGGCCGGGGTGGCTGCCTCTTAGTGCACCGAAGAAGAAAGTCTGACCCGAAACAAGAAAGAAAACGTTTTCTTAGGTGGCGTTCAGAAAAGCGGAAGGTAAATTAAGATGGAAACAGCTGCCTTTAGAACAAAAGCTGTGTTGTTATTATTATTTTTAAAAGGAGGGGGAAAAATATCCGCGTCTAATTGTCAGCGCTCTCGTTCAGGCTGCACCAACCACCCGCGAAGCAGAGCCAAACGCAAAGCTACCCTCTGAAAAATAATTCGTTTTTTTGCCATTCGCTTGTGAGAAGCAAAAGAAAAAGAAAAAAAGAGAGAGAGAGAGACAGGCTCTCTCGCGACTAAACGTTATCGACGGCGTTTGGCTCCTGCTCCAGTCAATTGGGCGGATTCTGGGACCGCCGTGATCCAACCTTAAATCACCCTGGGGCGGATCCCAAGGACTGGATTTGACGTGCAAACACTGTTTTGGTGGGTTTTATTATTTCAAAGACAGTGCTTGTTACTGGGCTGCAGGGAGCCCCTCGCCTTCCTCTTCTGAGGCTGCTGCTGCTGTGATCTCTTCAACAGAGAATGCGCCGGTTGCACACAAGGTTGGGTTTTTGACTCTGCACATGGCTTGGAAACCAGGTACGTCCCAAAGCATAGTTTCCTCTCCTCTCTCCTCTTCCCCCCCAAGGCACTTCTGGACTGTACAGTTCATCCTCTTTGGCTGCTAGTTTGGGCGAGTGCAGGTGAGGCCGTCACACCTCTTCTTTCAAGTTACAAGCCTCGCCCTCCGGCTTTTTATCTGCCCCTTGGTCGCATGGCTTGGGAGAGCTTTCGTCGTACGCGGACAGGCGGCTTCGGCTCCGGGCTCCGGGCTGGTAGAGCTGCATGGCGGGCCGATCCTGAAATGACAAGGGAAAATTTGGACTGGATGGCCTGCTTCCAGCTGAGCGGGGGAGGCAACAGTTCAGAATAAATAGCTAGAATAGAAGTCGATAAAGGAGGATGTTCGTAGCTCAATGTTGAAATGAGGGTATCCTTGGTGCTTAGGGATTTTCTTGCAGACATTTCACTACCCAAACTAGGTAACAACATCGGTGTTAGAAGGGAGGGGGGGTTTGTGGGAGGGAGGGAGGGAGGAAGAGGAGGAAGACAACAACGAG